TGCAACATGGGCCTGGACTTGATTCTCAGCCCTAAGATTGTCCATGGATTCCTACAATGCTCTGGCCATTTCCCAAGCTAAGGCACCAATGGCTTGTTGACCTGCTGGCTCGGCCACGTTAGCATGACCAACTCCCTCTTCCTGTGTCGGAATTTCATTCGATATTGGCACCTCCTGTCGCCTAGGCTTGCCATGCCTACCATTATTACGTCCATATCCAGACATCCTAATAATGGTAACACGATAGATTAGCACATTTACAAATGTGCTGAAGTTAAGTCTCTCATGTTCTAATACAATGGACAACAAGTAATTCACTCCACATAAGCACTGAATCACATAATCACAAACAAATTTTGTTTCTAGATAATGACTGTCCCGTGACATTTACTAGAGTTCCTATTAGAAATAGCAGTGATCAAGTGCTCTTTTAATAGGACTTCTAGAAACTCGTAGATCCAATCGATATCTTAGAAACCAAATTTCATACACATCTAGTCACATAAACACGTTATCATATAACATACCAGGTCTACTTCTAATATCATTTAGCGAGAAAAATCCCTTGTGGTAAAAACCACATCCCATGATCTCAAAGTATTCAAACCCTGGTAGCTTTAGTACCAAGTTGTAACATCCCAAAATAATAACAACAACCCATCTCATGATAATCAAAAGAAAATGTAACATACGAAATAATAACCTTTCATTTATCTTTTTTTACATACAAAATGTGACATATGTGAGTATATATTCATAAATCCTAGATCCTGAATTTATAGCATATGCCACATATGATCAAACTGAAATAAAAGGTTATCCAGATAAGTTAATGCCTTAATGGCTACATCTTTCCAAGATAATGCTTGAGTACAATAAAAGTGAGTTCAATTCAATACAATTAAAGCCCAAGACTTGTACAAAAAGCAATTATGTCAAACGAAACAAAGAAGCTTTTGGCTCCAAGTTCTCCCAAGCTATGTCCTTAGTGGAGGAATATTATCAACACCTGAAAGTTGTTTTCCATGTAGAGTGAGCTAAAGCCTAATAGAGATACTTTAACACAATGTATAAATCTTAACGAAGTCATAAGGTGAATGCAATGTCAGGATTATATATCAATGCATGCCATTTGTCAAAGCGTTTTATATTTTCATTTCAAACAATGCAATGTCAGGATTATATATCAATTCATGAAAAATATCCTTTCATATTAAATAACGGGGCAGTGGATACAAAACATTGAGAATCTCTAGGTACATGTCTGCTAGTAAGATATACAAGCACTGGCAAAGTTATTTTACCGGTACTAACTAGAAGGATCGACACCTAACCACGAGAGTTTCTAGACTTTCACAAAGGACATACAGGCTAACATGATAACCACAACCACACCCTAACTAGATTTACCAAGATATTCACCTATTTTTCTCAAAACAATACATTTTTAATGTTTAAGTATGAAACGATGCTCAATGCAAGATGTACGAGTAATTAGTTTTAATTCATCTAATCCTCATGCAATTCTACAACAATCAAAGTTATTCTCCACCGATAGCCCAAGATAGATATTTCTATTCAATAGCTAATTTCCAACAAAAGATATGACCTCATCATTTTCCAAAATGGGAGCTATATTACAAATCCAACTCCACCCTCATCATCAATAGATACATTCATTTCATCTTTTCAAAACTCAACATCTTTTCCCTTTTCTTTCATAAACCAAACATCAATGATTTTTGAACAAAACCTCATTTGCTTTCAAAATTACATTTAAGCAAAGAAATTTCAACATTTCAACATATCTTAACCATAAATACATCCTCATAACCTTTCTCAAGCACCCATTTGAAAACCCCTCTTTTACATTTCACAATCAAACCCTAGGGTTAACTCTAAATTTCCAAATCACTAAATCCTTTCAATGAGCAAATAACTAGGCTAAAAGTCATACCAAAGGTTAAACAAATCTCTACCTTAAGAGTAGAAGAGGAAGAGAGCAAGTGTGAACTTTGGCAGAGCCGAAAACAAGATCCTGTCTGATTAGATTGAAGCTTACGACGAGCTCTGCCTTTTTCTTCAAAGAGCAATGGTGGAGAAATCAATGGATGATGGAGTATTTGAGCTTTTAAGCAAGAACTAAAGAGAGAAAATGAAGAAACTAAGGTTTTGGAATGTTTTAAAGAGAGAGAGAGAGAGAGAGAGAGAGAGAGAGAGAGAGAGAGAGAGAGAGGGGAATGAAAAAGTGATTCAAAAATTCATTTTTCTGGACTAATATACGCACAGACTGCTTAAGTGACCAAAACGCCGCTCGAGCTCAAGAAAGACTGCTCGAGCGAAGATATCCTACTCCCAGAAGTTTTGCAAACTTGCAAAAATACTAGAAGATTGAAAGGACTGCTTGAGCGACTAGAATATTGCTTGAGCAAACAAGAAGAAAACTGAACAGCAACTCTTTTGAACAATTAACTCCCAACTTATTTCAAACATAACCAATTGCTCAACTCAACTCCTAACAAGATGAATAAGGACATCAACGACAATCAAAGGTACGGAGTCCCAGGTCTAAGAGCAAGAAATGGTTCAGGTTTAAACCAGAATCGTTATATTAATTATTCAATTTAATAATTAAAATTAATCTTTGCATCAACTATCATCTATCATCACTCTATGTCAGCTCAATCGAACCTACCAATCACTGTTACACCACATTCAAGTACCATGTGGCATTTTGCCAGGGGCGGAGCTAGGATTATAGCATTAGAGGGGGCAAAGTAAGATATTTAAGAAGTCTAAACAGTTGTATCAAGTCTAATTTAGACGACTGAAATCAACAAATCACTGTTAAAAGTAAGCTAAAAAATAATTACAAAAATATATTCTGCAAACTTAAATTTAAGTGATTTACCACTAGAAAAATGCAAATGAAAAGTAATATCACATAATTCATCTAGTATATGAATGGTAATGAATTACATATCACACTGTGTATACAAAATTGTGAAATTATCACGTACTAATGAATGAAAGATAAAATTACTAGCTTCTTTCTTATTTTTATTTTAAGGAAATAAAACTAGTAAAACTATGATATACACTTTTAAAATGCATACTGTATACCCTTTCAAAACTACACTACAATGATTGGCAATAAAATCACAATAGTTAATAACTTTTTTCACCATAACAGTACGTAATATTTTAATATTCATAACATAATCATAATAGTTCACTATACAATCATAATAATTTGTAATTAAAACTTTTTTTTTGTGGTGCATCCCTTCGTAAATTGTTTTTGAAAAAATTAAAACTAATTTGATAAAGTAGATATTTTTAAATTTTTAAAAATTATTTGTGACCTCTCAAAAATAAAATTATATAAAAATAATAAGTATTTTTATTTATTTATTTCATTAAATTAATTTTAATTTTTTAATAAAATATTCTAAGATCATATTTTAAAAACCAAATTAATGTCTCGTTTAGAGATTAAATATTTTAGTTAAAAAAATAAAAAATTATTATAGATTATCACATTACTATTTTTATTTTTTTATATATTTTTTCATAAAAAATTATTAAATAATTTATTTTCAAATGAGACAATGATAATTTTTCCAAATATTTAAAATTTTACAAAGGTCAAGTTTGGCAACTCTTAAAAAATTTAAAAAGTCAAAAAGTCACTATTCTATTTAAATCACATCATCTTATTTAAGTCACATCACCTCTCTAACACATCACTTCAAATCCAACCTAAACCCAACCCATATTTCATAAAAAGTCAAAAAATACATTTATTTAATTTTTCCAAACTTGACCAAAGTTTTTGAAGCTTTTGTGAGCTTCTCGGTCAATCTCCACCAGTACAAGAGATCCAATCCACCATCGTTAAAAAAGCGAGAAAAATTTCCAAGTGACGTGGTAAGCGGCTCACATCTCACAAAACATACGGCTACGATCACAGAGAACAATTAGTGATTGGCTCTGAAATTTTACAAGATAATAGTCTCATTTGGTAAAACTGTATGAAACTAATTATCCCTTATAACTGTGAGTATAAGTTGATTTTTAATTTATAAATTAAGTTTTTCTTCTCCCACTTCATAAAAAGTCAAAAAATATACTTATTTAATTTTTCCAAACTTGACCAAAGTTTTTGAAGCTTTTGTGAGCTTCTCGGTCAATCTCCACCAGTACAAGAGATCCAATCCACCATCGTTAAAAAAGCGAGAAAAATTTCCAAGTGACGTGGTAAGCGGCTCACATCTCACAAAACATACGGCTACGATCACAGAGAACAATTATTGATTGGCTCTGAAATTTTACAAGATAATAGTCTCATTTGGTAAAACTGTATGAAACTAATTATACCTTATAACTGTGAATATAAGTTGATTTTTAATTTATAAATTAAGCTTTTCTTTTTCCACTTAAAGAATAAGTTAATTTTTGATTTACAAAAAAATATAAATTATATTATTAAATTAAATCAAATACATCAAAATAACTTAAATTAAGTTAAAAATTAAAATAAATTAGAAATAAGTTCTACCAAACCGTCTCGTATCAAACACAAAATCTCATATTTTAATATTATCAGATCATTTCATATAAAATTATAAATCTTATTTTTACCGCCGATGAAATTACAATTGAAATATGCTATACGCAGAACCAACAAATGACGTGTGGAACACAAGAGCAATTGTAATAAAGGACCCAAACAAAAAACAAAAAGAAAAGGACAAATTACATATATCCCCTCGAGATTTAACAAAATTACAAATATTTTTAAAATTTGAGAAATTATAAATATCTCTTGAAGATATTATTTGCATAACAAATTATGAAACAAATTATTATGAAAATATAAATTTCATAGAATAATTTATTATAAAAATATAAATTTCAGAATATCTGTAATTTCTAAAATTTTAAAAATATTTATAATTTAACTAAATCTCGTAATTTGTCCGGAAAAACAACACAGCGATAAATATCTATATATTAGAGTAGACCAGCTCACACTTGTCAACACAAACAAGTCGCATGTGTGTTTGTGTAAGAGAAACCTCGTAGACTAATTCGATCACTCTTTATATCACGATCCTCTGAAAATTCGCAACCCTCAGTCAGCTACTCCTCTCAGGTTTCTCGAACTCACCGTCCCTTTCTGATTCTTCAATTAGGGTTTTTTTTCAATGTTGAATTTGTAGATCTGTGAACCAGAATGATGTGTGTATTGGTTGTTAGGGTTGCTTCGCTAATTCAGTGAAATTTGGGGGTTTATGGTATTGCAGATCTGTGAACTTTGGGGGTTCTGCGAAGTGGAGGTAAATGCAGACGAGGTACATGGAGAGGACCAACTCTATGAGTAGAGGGAAGCGGAATTTGGAGGGCGACGATGATCTGCCCGATCGGAAGCGCCCAGCTTTAGCTAGGTAAATTTGCAAATGTTGGGCGAATTTTGTAGATTGGGTTTTGTTGTGTGTTTTTGATTTGTTAATTTTGCTGGTTGATGAGTTGTGTTATGAAAACTCTTGTTCTGTTACTTATATGGGTTACTATGCTAATACTTGGGTGTATAAAATTGTCACCAACTGTAGCTTTAGGCGGTGTTTGGCTGAGAGATTTGGAAAGAAAAAGAAAAAATGTGTGAAAAACTATATTCTATTCATATTTCACTTATTTTTTCTCTTTTTATTTCCAAATTTGTTTCCAAATCCCCAACCACACTGTCGTGGACTACGAGTATGATTCTGTGGTATGTGTATTGATGTTGACTGGTTCTCTCTCAACGCAATCTCAATTTGATATATATATATATATATATTTTTTTTTTTAAACAGGTGTGTTGCACTTCACTTTTGGTACTATTGATGTAATTTAGCATATTTATTCCCACACAATTTATTTATTTTTCCTTCGTGTTAAGAAGCTAGTACTCTGCTGACATGCGTTTGGTTCTTGGTTTTTTGATCTAGGGATCCCAATTCCAAATGTTGGGAGTTCAGCTGCATTAGATATTTGTGAATTTTGGACTGAATTTAAATTTGGATCCTAATTCCACCAAGAAGTTACCCAATAACAGGCAAATTTTGGAACTTCGTGTTTTGTACTAGTTTGCTTTGCTCCTTCTTTTCTTGCTGCTTCTTCATCTCCTCCAAAGACGATCTTTGAGAATGAGAAACATAAATGTGAGGCAAAGTTACTTGTTTATGCAGGGGTGTTAGCAACACATTTAAACCTTAAAATTATGGTTTCTGTTAATTCCCCTAATTAGGTTTTCACTATCTCATTTTCGAACCCCATTTAATGGATTCAATTAAATCGTAAATGGTGGCCTAAATTTTGAGTTTCTCTTTTTCTTTAGTCATTGCCCCAAATTTCACAAATGGAAGCCTATCTAAGGGTTTTATTTTGCGTTAATCTGACCCCAATTTTAGATGACATCTGGATCTACTATAATGTGTGAATTTGCTGATCCAAAAAAACAAAAAAAACAATAATGTCTGAATTTTAAATTTTGTAACTTTCTTGTCTTGTACCCAATTATAGATTAAAATATGTACATGGATCAAGTGTTGTAGCTAGGTGTGCACATGGTTCGGGTTGCTTCTGTCTTCAAACAAACCCAAAATGAACTGAGCTTGGCCGTTTTCATTATAGAATAAATTTATGCATCTTTTGTTGAAAGAATGCTAGTCAATATTCTTCATGTCGCTGTGTAGGACCTCATCTTTAAAATTTTAATTTTATCTACAAGATCCCATTTGTTTTGTGGATTTGTTATGAAACTTCGATCATTTGTATAATTCACAAGTCTAGAAACTGTAATGCTTGTTAACTTTCAACAGTATGTGTGACTACGTTAATTTTGGACTTGCAATAGGTTTTGAATGGATGTTTCATACTTATCATCTTCTCATCTTCACAAGTTTTTCCCTTCCCTTAACCATTACTCAGTCCATAATTCTACTAGTTTCCCTGTGCATAAGCCAACACCTATACAGGCACAGACACTCTAAATGGGTGCTATGTCCTTGTTTGACACATGTTGAGCATGCCATGTGGTGTGTCAATTTTTTTAATTATTAATTTTTTGCTAGACATGTTGGCAACACTTCATGAACATGTTATTGTACATCATCTGTTGTTCCACTTTGGCATGTGCTTTTGGGCTATGAAGGAGCCTTCTGACTGTTCTTGGACTTGGAAGAAGGTATTTATGGGCTATATGCTCTAAAGAAAGTTCTCTTTGGGTTCAATGGTGCAGCCATTATATCATAAAAGGCATGTGCTTTTGGGCTATGAAGGAGCCTTCTGACTGTTCTTGGACTTGGAAGAAGGTATTTATGGGCTATATGCTCTAAAGAAAGTTCTCTTTGGGTTCAATGGTGCAGCCATTATATCATAAAAGGCATGTGCTTTTGGGCTATGAAGGAGCCTTCTGACTGTTCTTGGACTTGGAAGAAGGTATTTATGGGCTATATGCTCTAAAGAAAGTTCTCTTTGGGTTCAATGGTGCAGCCATTATATCATAAAAGGCATGTGCTTTTGGGCTATGAAGGAGCCTTCTGACTGTTCTTGGACTTGGAAGAAGGTATTTATGGGCTATATGCTCTAAAGAAAGTTCTCTTTGGGTTCAATGGTGCAGCCATTATATCATAAAAGGCATGTGCTTTTGGGCTATGAAGGAGCCTTCTGACTGTTCTTGGACTTGGAAGAAGGTATTTATGGGCTATATGCTCTAAAGAAAGTTCTCTTTGGGTTCAATGGTGCAGCCATTATATCATAAAAGGCATGTGCTTTTGGGCTATGAAGGAGCCTTCTGACTGTTCTTGGACTTGGAAGAAGGTATTTATGGGCTATATGCTCTAAAGAAAGTTCTCTTTGGGTTCAATGGTGCAGCCATTATATCATAAAAGGCATGTGCTTTTGGGCTATGAAGGAGCCTTCTGACTGTTCTTGGACTTGGAAGAAGGTATTTATGGGCTATATGCTCTAAAGAAAGTTCTCTTTGGGTTCAATGGTGCAGCCATTATATCATAAAAGGCATGTGCTTTTGGGCTATGAAGGAGCCTTCTGACTGTTCTTGGACTTGGAAGAAGGTATTTATGGGCTATATGCTCTAAAGAAAGTTCTCTTTGGGTTCAATGGTGCAGCCATTATATCATAAAAGGCATGTGCTTTTGGGCTATGAAGGAGCCTTCTGACTGTTCTTGGACTTGGAAGAAGGTATTTATGGGCTATATGCTCTAAAGAAAGTTCTCTTTGGGTTCAATGGTGCAGCCATTATATCATAAAAGGCATGTGCTTTTGGGCTATGAAGGAGCCTTCTGACTGTTCTTGGACTTGGAAGAAGGTATTTATGGGCTATATGCTCTAAAGAAAGTTCTCTTTGGGTTCAATGGTGCAGCCATTATATCATAAAAGGCATGTGCTTTTGGGCTATGAAGGAGCCTTCTGACTGTTCTTGGACTTGGAAGAAGGTATTTATGGGCTATATGCTCTAAAGAAAGTTCTCTTTGGGTTCAATGGTGCAGCCATTATATCATAAAAGGCATGTGCTTTTGGGCTATGAAGGAGCCTTCTGACTGTTCTTGGACTTGGAAGAAGGTATTTATGGGCTATATGCTCTAAAGAAAGTTCTCTTTGGGTTCAATGGTGCAGCCATTATATCATAAAAGGCATGTGCTTTTGGGCTATGAAGGAGCCTTCTGACTGTTCTTGGACTTGGAAGAAGGTATTTATGGGCTATATGCTCTAAAGAAAGTTCTCTTTGGGTTCAATGGTGCAGCCATTATATCATAAAAGGCATGTGCTTTTGGGCTATGAAGGAGCCTTCTGACTGTTCTTGGACTTGGAAGAAGGTATTTATGGGCTATATGCTCTAAAGAAAGTTCTCTTTGGGTTCAATGGTGCAGCCATTATATCATAAAAGGCATGTGCTTTTGGGCTATGAAGGAGCCTTCTGACTGTTCTTGGACTTGGAAGAAGGTATTTATGGGCTATATGCTCTAAAGAAAGTTCTCTTTGGGTTCAATGGTGCAGCCATTATATCATAAAAGGCATGTGCTTTTGGGCTATGAAGGAGCCTTCTGACTGTTCTTGGACTTGGAAGAAGGTATTTATGGGCTATATGCTCTAAAGAAAGTTCTCTTTGGGTTCAATGGTGCAGCCATTATATCATAAAAGGCATGTGCTTTTGGGCTATGAAGGAGCCTTCTGACTGTTCTTGGACTTGGAAGAAGGTTTTATCAGATTGCTAGATTGTTTGGAAGGCAAAAAATTGGTGATGGCAAAGACTTTTCTTTGGTTTGATAATTGATATCCAATTGGCCCCTGAATTGATGCTTATGGACCTAGAATTGCCTATGACTCAGGTACTTCTCCGCTAGCTAAATTCTCTGATATCATTTCTAATGGGATGTGGAGACGGCCCTCCAGTACTGTCAGATATGGCTCTCTATTGGATTTAAAGTGACCTTACCCAATATCATTTGCCTCTCTCTCCAAAATACCTCAAGGCCTCATAAAATAGACTGAACAAGTTTCTCGAACTGTGTATTCTCTGCTTCAGCTACCTAGGAAGCTCTTTAGGCCACACCGTTCTGTGTTTCCTTGGCACAAACTGGTTTAGTTCTCAAGCTGCATTGCTTGACATCGTCTTATTTTCTAGCTGGCCATTAAAGTGAGACTTTATACCAGGAGTAAGCTTAAAGAGTGGGGAGTGATTGAGGATGCTGCTTGTGTTCTTTGTGGTCTAGGTGATGAAGATATCCTTAACTTGTTCTTTGACTGCTCTTTTTCCAGGCTCATTTCAAATTTATCTTCTCTTTGTCGCATTTCTAAGCCTAGTCAGTGCTGGCATAATGACAGGAGATGCATTACTGGGGCAATTAGTAGCAAACCATTAGCAATATCATCAGTTGCTTGGCTGGGCTTTTATGGTTTATTACATTTGGAGTTTGTTTGGCATCTCTTAAATAAACACTTATTTGGGTCACATTCTCTCTCTACTTTTCTGCACATCTTTTCATAAAAAATAAAAAAAGTGCAATTATTTAGATCATTCCAAACAACCTCTTTGAATGATAGGAATCACAGTTTTTCAAGGCACCCATAGCCCACCTAATTAGCTGCTTAATTCTTTTAGGCATGATGTTCGCATTAAGGCCTCTCAGTTTCACTCTATTGTAGCTTCTTCTCTATATTTGGTTATTTTTAGCATTAGGCTTATCCCACATAGTGTTTTCAGAGCTTAGACTTGTTCTATGTAGTTGTGGAGCCTTGCTGTTGTTTTGTGAGTTATATCCTAGTGATTTCTGTATTTTTTTTGCAGTTAATAATATTCTCACTTAACAAAAAGTTCCCACTGGTCCCACCACCACTACCACCACAACTACTCACACCTTTATTACCCATCTTAAATCTCCGTGAAGTATTCCAATTTCCAAGTCAGAGACTCACAAACTTTGCAATTTTCTTTACTTTACCTTTTGTTCAAGTCAGCAACATTTGTTTTTTACTGTAATACTTCGAAACCTAAGTCCAACCATGTGCTTTACTAATCCCTTCCATGATACAATTCAAATTATGCAAATATCGTGTCAATACTGACCAATAATACTCTAATGTAATCACACTAAATCTTATTTTCATTTGAGAAAGATTTGTAGTGTTTGGTTCATTGGAATGAGGCTGAATGGAATGGTCATTACTTAGCCTCTCTATGGGATGGTCATTTCCTTACGATGGGGAATGATGATTTCATTTGCAATGCATTTTTCATTAGTTTTTAGTATACCAACATGAGAATGGACATTCTGATGACATGATCATTCCATTTCACTTCATTCTAGTAAAACTAACACTATCTTATAGTTTGACGTTATTTCTGTTTGCAACCAAAAGGAATTGTCAAAATTATACTCCTAATTATGGATTTTTATTCAATGCAAATTATGCACACACATCGCATGTGTTACGACTTGTAGTCTACATATACTTCTGGCGATGCAATATCATCTTAGCCTGTTTTCTCCCCTCCTTTTTCCTCTCAATACTTTCCCTTTATTTGGACCCCCTGCACATCTGTTTTTTATTTTTAAATTTCTCATGCAATTGGTGCTAAACAGGTTAGTGAAGAAGTGGAGCGTGCTTTGGCAAAGTTAGGCCCTGCTAGAGTTAATGGAAGGTCTGAGACATATTTGATTATTTATAAAATTGTGGTAGATTCTGTAAAATACAGATAATTTATTTTTCCACTATATTGGTATTTTGTTACTTTTAATGCTTGCATGTTCTTTTTGACATAATGATGCTTGAGATCACATTGGTTGCAGTAGGATCACTAATAAGGGTAGGGGTGTTCAAAAAACCGAATCACTTGTAGACCCACTTGAACCCGCCTGACCCGTGCATGCCACGGACGGTTTCGCAGGACAATTTGATTGGCAGCGGTTGAATTTCGTAGAAAAAATCTGAATTCCGGTTGGCTGTTAGATGTAATAAAAAAATATTGGTCTAACCCGATCCGACTGACATATATATAATAAATTAATATTATTTTAATTGTTCAGCATGTTTGACTCACCTAGATAAACTAAAAACGCATTATCTCAATTCTTTTTTTCCCAAGACCATTTATATATTCCTAAGACAAAACTTATCCTTTCCAAGTCAGAGTTGTATTACAACTCAACTCACCAACTCCCTTGTCAACCAATTCTCATCTTTTTCAAGCGTGCGGTATACACCATCAACAAATCTGAGGCATATATACAAATATATGTTTTCCAAGGCAATGTCAATCTTCCCAAGAAAAGTGTATTCCTCAGTTCTTACGTCTCTATCTTTCTCTCTCTCTCACAGATCTGACAACTCATTTGTTCTTGTGGCTTCCTCTCTCTCAGTCCTTTCAACTTCTCTTTCTGCCAAACCTTTCATCTCCATATCTCTTTGTCTCTTAATCCTTTCGTCTCACTCCCTCACCCACTCCCCTCCCTTACCCTTCTCTCTCTCTCTCTCTTTCTCTCTTTATCGCTCGCTCGCTCTCTCTCTCTCTCTCGTTGAGAGACAGACTCATCTCCCACTCTCTTCCTCATCTTTGCTTCTCTTTCTTTTTTCCTTTCCTTTTTCTTCCGATGGTGATGGGGTGATGGCAGGGGCGGATGAGGTCAATTTCCGTTTGACTAAGGCTTTTAAAAAATCATAAAAGACAAAATAGACTAAATAAGCCAATAAGACAAAATGTCACATCCAAACTATAACCATGTTATTTTTTCTCTCACAAAAGTCAAAAAAGCCAACCCAAACGAACTTTTTAGTCCCAAGCTAAAAAAGTCCCAACTCAAAAAGCCAACCAAAAAAGTTTTTGTCAAACGACAACTAACAAAGGTGTTGGTGGTGATGAGCGATAGCATTGTGACGAGGGAAGGCAGTGGCCACGGCGATAAGTAATGGCAATGTTAATGGAATAATAAGTTTCCCGTCTCTCTTTTTCTCCACTTTCTTTTCTTTACTCTCTCTATCACTGATCTGTAATCTGTAAGTGTATATGCATAAGCTTAATTTGTTGTTTTGAACTCTCAAATCCTTTTTTTCACAAAAAACAAAATTCATCCCTACCAGATTTTTGAAATCGACCGAACCAACCACCAAACTGTGACTTTTGATTCAGTTGATTTCGAGCTGTTGTTCGGTCAATAACGGGTAAATCGTTTTCTAACCCGAATGTGTCAACTCGGCTGACAGGCTGAGGGTAAAACCGACCCAACTTGACCCGTGAATACCCGTAAATAAGGGTTTTCAAAATCAGGATTAGCAAAAATTGTTTCTTTATATTTTCTTTGGTGTCATCACCTAATAATTTAGGCAACCTATGTTAGTTTAGACTTTGGACTTGTGAACTTTTATCCATTGGCCGTAGCAAAATTGCAGACCGTGTTACATGGACTCGGCACTTTAGGGCGAAGTATCCGTGTCGACACGACACGGGTGTGGGTGTGGGATCTGTGTCGGATTCGCCTGTTCTCTCTTGGACACGACTCTTTATAGACGGCAAAAGAAATGAAAAAGGTGAGAGCGAAAGAGAACCTGGTCGAAGCTCCATCCAGTCGATCCAGTCGAAGATCGAAAACCTTCAATCAAAGCTCCATCCTTATCAGTCGATCGAACAACCGAACACCCCAGAGTCTCCCTCTCTCTCGGTTCTCTCCCGTCTGTCTTCATCTCTTGATATTATAACAATTATAATTATTATATATTCATATATAATATATATAACTCATACCTATTATTATTTTATTATATAATAACTATATATAATATATATAACTAATAACTATTATTATTTTATTATATATTATATAATAGTTATTATATAACATAAATATACTCATTAGATAATGGATAATACATATTATAAGATAATATATACTTATACATATTAATAAATAAAAAAATAAATACATGTATGTAAAATAAAATAAAAAAATTAATTGAAACGCATTATTTAAAAAATAGAATAAATAAATAAAATAATTAATGTATATTAAAATAAAAATATTTATAAAAAATTAAAAAATTTGCCGTGTCCCTTGTCGTGTCCGTGTCCCTATTTTTTAGAAATTGTCGTGTCTTGTATCCGCATTATAATAAATATATATATTTTTTAAAAAATTATTTAACGTATCCCCATACCTGTATCCAAATTTGGATACATATCCACGTATCTTTAATTTTTAATTTTGAAATGTCCGATCCCTAGATACGCACCCGCACCCGATACTCGTACCCAAGTCCGTGTAACATAGCATACCAATCAATCAACCGTTATTATATATGCATGTAAGCACATGCATGTATGTGAGAGAGAGAGAGAGAGAGAGAGAGTATAGTCTCGTGTAGATCATACTATTAGAATTTAAGCTACTTCGAAATGTTAGAGCAATTTTCTTTTAATAACTAGACATCCAATGAAATATAATTTATTATTCTTTTATTTAATCATGTAAAATCACAATTGGAGGAATATTATAACCCATTTTCCCTATGAAGCACGGACACATATACGGACACGGACACGGACACGGGATACGATAATTTCTAAAAAATGGGGACACGGACACGGTAGGGGACATGGCCAATTTTTTATTTTTTTTATAAATATTTTTATTTTAATACATATTAATTATTTTATTTATTTATTATATTTTTTAAATAATGTGTTCCAATTAATTTTTTTATTTTATTTTACAAACATGTGTTTTTTTTTATTTTTTATTAAGATGTATATATATATTATCTTATAATATGTATTATATATTATTTATATGCTCTGTTATCAGCATCTTACGATTCGCGATTCGATTCGGGATTCGATACGCAATTTTTGCAAAATCGATACGAATCTATGAGTGAATCTATTTTGGAAGTGAATCTCTAGTGAATCGCACGATTCACAATCGATTCACGATTCGATTCACTTTTTACGATTCATGCAATTTTTAAAATTATTGTGTTCGACATATTTTCGACTCATTTTTTCCATCTTTTTAGTGAAAATGACATAATACAACTTCTAATAACATTTAATACCAAAATAATCAACATCATGCAATACAAATGAATGATGCACGCATGCAAAGTATAAGGTATGCTAATCGAAATATGCCCTAAACTAACCATCGAAAGCGATTAAGTAAAAGGGTGAAAGACGTGGGGTTGCAAGACATTCACACACCCACACACGCTTAATACAACAATTGCCCTCTCGACGGAGGGTCCGAATGAAAGCTAAGCTAGCTACGCTAAGCTAAACTACTTAACTAATCTAATTTAAGCTAATTAGACTAATTATTACACAACAAAACGAATAACTAGTAAACTACTTACTAATTATTACCCACTTAATTAATTAACAAACTAATTAATTAAATTACCAATTTAAGCTAACTAACAAGTAAAGCTAATTACAAATCATACTGCCTCAGCTCTGTTCCAAGAGGTTGAAGATGCATGCTCGGTTGGCGTTCGCTCGGAAATCCATTACCATGCTATCAATTGCCTCTGTTTGCACTTGCCTTGATCTCTGAAAATTGTGCCAACCTCCAGACTGCCTTTACCTTAAAACAGGGATCTACTGGTGGGCTGCTAGCTAGAAAAAGTGGCTGTCAACCACTAAAACTGGCCGATTGGCTAGTAAAATTGGCTGGTCAGTAGGCTAGTGCAAGTGGCCGGCCGGCCACCTCTCTTTCCAGAATCCTGCCTTTGCTGCAACAGAGAGCAACAAAGCCAAGGCAATGTGTTTGGCTAGAAATATGTGTACTACCACCCCCCTCATCATGTCTCAAGCTCAAAGGAGTGTGGTACTCGGCTCTCAAGCCACCAATCAAGCATCTCAATGCATGATGGCCCAAGAACCAAGCTTGTACAAGCTTAGTGAATGCACACATAAGACTCAAAGAGCCTCCACCCTATCATGCATGATCAAGGGCGTTAGCGACCAAGAAATGCGACACGTTTCATCACTTTGAGTATGGAACGTCCCGCATTTCTTGTGTTTGGATTAGCGTCTGATCCAAACACAATGCAATGCAAACAACATGCTTATCTTGCATGTTTTACTTGGCTCATTTCTTGTTTACTCATTTTACATTACTAAGCCATTCATTAACCGGTTAGGTCCAATGTGAAAGTCCTCTAATGGGAAAGATGGCCTACGCCACAAGTGCCTTGAGCATGAAAGAGGTTTCATGTTGTTGGTTAGTAGAAATCCTCAAGGGAGGATTAAAACCACTAGGCATGCGAACCTCAATTCCACACTCAAGCCAACAAGGGGCTAAAGACCTCTTTCAAAGCGAATGAAAGAGTGAAACAATGGAGTGCAATAACATATATTTCAGCACTGAAATGACATGCTAAATGACTTAAAATCATGCAAACAAACCATGCACAACATGTTAAGAGTCAAAAGCATTAAAACTAGTGAAAGACACAACACTAGAGGTATGTAATACAAAGCTCAAATGACCAAATTAGCTATGGAAAGACCTAAAACATGCCAAATCAGTGGCCTAATCATGCTTGAATTGAAGCATAAAAGGCAAGAAAATCATGTGCACAAATTAGCTCTCAAGCAAGGCATAATACACAACTCACAAAAACATTTAAAGAGTGATATATGTGAGAGTGTGACAGCAGAATATGCTCTGAAATCATATGCTAAATGATGCCATATCATGCAAATAACTCAAACAAAGCATGCTAGGAGGCTTAAAACTCAAAGCTAGTTAAGGCACTTGCACTATAGCGATACAAAGCAAGCCTCAAAAGGCCAAGACCACTCAAAACAGTCCTAAAGCATGCTAAAACATTAGCAAAAATGTGCTGCAGTTGAGCTAACACAAGCTAGAATGATAGGCATACTCATTAGGCATGTTAGGCTAATAAGTAAAATTACACTACAAGTGCAAGATACAAGCAACCAATGGCCAAACCAGTCAAAAACAGAGTTAAAGCAGGTCCAAAAAGTCACAAAAATATGCTGAGATCAAGCCATGAGATGGTAGAAAAACATGCTCATGTGTTGGGCCATTAACATATGCAAACAAGACATGAAGATGGGGGACCACCCCCTCCCATTTTAGTCCTCAAAACCCACTTTCTACCACTAAAATTCCTCTGGAATTCAGTGGTTAAAAGGCTAAAAAAGAAATGTTTTAATGGGTTTAGAAGATGGCACAAAGCTTAACAAATAAGCAACCAAAGAGGGTAGACCACCCCCAACTCCAAAAGGACCTCAAACCACCATTTTAAACACTTCAAAATAGAGGTTTTTTTAGTTGACAAGTAGGCCTAAAATAGCATGCAAAGGTGGCCAAGAGAATGTACAAAAATAAGCTTAAAAGGAGAAGATGCTTACCCTTGAAGCACAGCAGCAAGATGGCAACTTTCTGAGCCAAAACCAGCCTTAAAGAACTCCAAACAAGCCTTAAGAAACCTCAGCTCCAAGATAGGGGTGTTTGGTTAAGGGGTTGTATGCAAATATGTGAAGAAAAATCACTTTCAAGCACAATATAGCACAATAGAGAGAGAGAGAGAGAGAGAGAGAATTCTAGAGAGATAGAGAATTTTCAGCTCTGAAAATTTGTAGAGAGAGAGGGATTTTAGTGTGAGAATCTTCCAAACTTGTTAACCTTCTCCAAATGTTCTAACCCTTTAATATATGAGATATGGCTTCAATATATAGCAAAAATAGAGCATTTGGTCGAAATATCTGATTTGGGACAGCTGGAGGGGTGTGAAAATAGCTAGAGGAGAAATATCTGCAAAAAAAACTGAGTTTTAGACATAACTAGCCGGCCGGCTACTTCAAGTGGCCGGTAGACTACCTCAACTGGCCGGCCGGCTACTTTTCTGGCCAACAGCAAAAATCTGCTCTGCAGGTCAAACTTCAAATGGGCATATCTCCTTCATATGGACTCCTTTTCAGGTCATTCCAAATTGAATCCTCGAAAGTAAGCTTTCTAATGGTGGCAGACTCACATAAAAATTCCAAGTGTGCAAAAAGTTATGCCTCTTTTAGTGAAGACTGCTTATTTCCAGCTCAATCGGATTGATGCGCAACTTCAACCAACCATATCTCCCTCATCCAAACTCGGCTTTAGGAGATTCTTGAGTGTAAAATGAAGCCCTAGAAGTCCTCTTTCCAACGATGGTGGCCTCATAGCTGAAATCCAAGTGTGCAAATGGATAGGCCTGATTTAGCAAGGGCCGCTCGACTCTCTTTCAACGGTTCATGCCCATCTTCTCTCCCAGCCTGGTTTCTTCCCTCTCCTCTTCTTTTCTTCAACTCCAAACCTCTAAACAAGATGTTTTAAAGATTTTTTCAATGAGCTCACCTCTCTTTCATTCACTTCCACTTTGTCATTGCTCGGTTTGCCGAAAAAATGCAACATTTAACGAAATAGAAGCCTTTGAGCCTCGAAACATCGTAGGAGCATTTTCAAAAATGTTTCAAAAGAGAGGGTTTTAAGGTCTAAAATATTTTGGTCCAAAAGTGGGGTGTGAGGTTTGGATTTGACGCTCCTCTTGCTGAAGAAATCGAATCTTTGCACTGCACACCTTTCATCACCAAGTAAGCCATCAGTGGCGCCCAAGTCTTGAAGGCGATCAAAAATGGGGTGTCTACAGGCAGCTGTTATAACTATCAACTCATAAGAAAAACCTCCCTCCCTTCCTCCCTCCCTCCCTCCCTCCCTCCTAGCAAAACATCACTCTCTCCCTCCCGTCTGACATTTTTGCAGAACAAAAATTGAAAACTGGTGTATTCCGGACGTCCCACACACCAGTTTATATGCCAAAATGGCAACCACCCCGCCCCTACTTGTACTAATATATTATGTTCTTACCAATATAAAAATGAATAAGATTTTGTCCAATCCACTCTTGTTGTTTGACCCGTGAGGCTTATCACGAATCCTATATGTGACACCCCGAACGTTTAATTAAGTATCACATAAATATTTAGAATTATATATATAATTATGATTGCTTGTGATGATAGGGTATTAAATAAATAAATATATAAATCTAATTTGGCATTAGGTTATCAAATATAGGATTAATTAGAAATTATTTGGGGGGCAAATTAGCATATTTATGGAATTATAATACTAGTTGGGTCAAACTAAAGATAGTAAATAAATAATAATATTGCTAACAAGAATAATAATAATAAGCTGTAAAGTAAAATAAAATAATTAATTTCATAATGATAAAGAAAAAATATATATATAATGTAATTTAATTTAAATTAGGAACATTGAAAAAGCTTAACATCAAAACAAATGAATAAATAAATAAAAAGAAAAGAAAATGAAAATTTGTTGGCCCAGTAAATGCTTGTGAATTTCGGCCCAAAAGAAAAAGAAAGAAAAAGGGCCCAGGTATAAGATTTAATCTTATCCTGGAAAGATTCAAATCTTATATGGAATCCACAATTAAAAGCTCAATCACCTAGCATCATTATGAGCGAGAGAGAGAGAGGGGTACGTGGCTTTCCATCATGGCTTGGTTAATAGTATAAAAGGGGCAAAGGTGTTGTGAATTAAGGGAGGAAACACGAAAGAACAAAAGAAAGAGGGGAAACCGAGAGAGAGAGGTACGTAAGTGAGCGTAAGGAATCTATAGTAGGGAAGTTCTGATAGTAAAGTAAGACTAAGGGTTATAATCAAGGTGAGTTATATTATACATTGCTTTACCATTATATGTTTTACGAATGTTTTGAGTTACCATAGCTTATTTTATACGAGTTATATTTATTAAGTTATATAAATAAAAGTTATGTTTATAAATATTTCAGTTATGTAGGTTACTTTCTAAACTCTATTTACTTAAAAGGAAACCCATGGATATGTTTGTTTAAATTTTAGTATATATTTAACTATAACCTTATAAACAATTATGTTTTGTAAGTATCACCACGGGAGTCCCACGCCTTGGGGGACTTAAATAACCACTGGCCTCTGTTTGACCACCTTATGGTCCTCTGTTTGTCATGGATCCATTGACCTCTGTTCTGACTGTCACTTCTGTGACCTCTGCTCTGTTCTGTTTTATACCGTGGTTATGATTATTTATTTACATGATTTTCTGTATTCTGCCACTTTAAATAAATTATCATTTTAAATTAAAATATGCAAATATTTTAGTCTAACTAATTATCCATGGTTGTTTTACACTCTTGGCATAATATTTCTCACTCTGCTGTGTGCTTATAGCTGTTACCCTTTCAGGTGACGAGATGTAAGGGAAACCCATAACCCCACAAAATGGAACCTGTACATGGACCGATGTTGAATCACTATTTTATCTTTCTTTTTTTTATATTTTTGCTTCCTTTCGTTTCTATTCGGGGCTGGTCACTGAATAATAAAATATTGAAAGTCCTAGAAATGTATTTCCTCTTTCTTAAATAGTAAAATTTCTGTTTACTTTATTTTCGCTAGCGCAGCTTAATTTGCTTCGAATAAGAATAAGTGAGTAAGTTGTGATTCCAACCCTAAGCCCCTAGGGTTGGGTCGTGATAAGGTGGTATCAGAGCAGCGATTCAAAAAAAAAACAAATTTTTTTTTTTAATAAAACTATATAGCTAAGAAAATATAGTAAAATAAAATAGAATAATAATAGCTATTTACCTGCACCGTTAGTCTTTCCTGTATAAAATCTCACGTTTATTCTGGTGTTGTAGGGATGTCAGAGATTTACCTTGATGATGCTTTTTGGAATGACCTCCAGGCCATCAATTTAGATGAAATCTTAGCTGAACACCCTGCCCCCGCCCCCGCCTCACCTGAGGGTTGAGGAGATTTTGAGGAAATAGTCAGGGGATTGCACCCAGGCCTTGGCCGGTTGATGGGTCAGCCAATTTATATCCAGGTTGACCCTACTGACGTCCTACGCTTATTATGGAGGCACAGCCTTGTCCATACACGCAGACGTTTTCTCGAACCATCTCGCGTCCTTGGTGTCGCCCTAGGTCACGACTGCCCGCATTATATTATAGGCCCTCTACCCCCAGAGTTTGCAGCCAGGAGGGGGAACGTGTACCCCGAAGATTATATTGTCACCACAGTCCCTAACCCACTGGAGATCATTAATTTTCAAAATGCTGACTTTGATAATGACCTGTCATATGTTGAGACACCTGGCTGGATTGTCGACCAAGCATTTGTGGGTCATATACGGTCTATCCCCATTTTCACGGTCCAGGTAGCATGGATGTGTTTTGGTGTAGTCCAGTTGGGGTAGGAGTTTGAGCTTTTTATGCAGCACTATTTCCCCTGGTTTTTCAGCCCATCTGACCCACCACTCTAGATATGGGTAGTAGAAAATCTTTTGTATGCTAATCCTGATATGTTCTAATCCCTTTTTGTTAACTTTTGTTTTTGTTTACTGCAGGGATGGGACACTAACATATTCTGACTAATGTAATATGAAGTATAAAAAAATAAAAATGTGTAATGTTGGCAGTTCATATAAATATAAATTGTGCTACACATATACATATATATATGCTATGTTGAGAATATAATGCCTTGTTTATTACTTGTAGAATGGCTAATAATGGTAATGGAAGTGAGTCATCAGTTAGTGGCACTGAATCGATGGTGGAAAGAGTAATGGAAAGAGCGATTACTAGCTTCCTACAAGCCTTGCAAACTAACATCAACAATGGGACGCCAGAACGGCGAGAAGGGCCGGTTACCATAAAACAGTTCCAAGATCTGAAACCCACCACATTTACCGGCAGCCCAAACCCAATGGTAGCAGACGCTTGGGTTAAAGACATGGAAGAGATTTTTCGTGCCCTACCCTGCACCGAGAGACAAAATGTAACTTTCGCCACTTTCGCTTTCAAAGACAATACACAGGAATGGTGGCTTCTCACTTTGGTCAAAGAAGAAATTACGACTTGGGCAAGATTCTTGGAAGTATTCTACGAAAAATACTTTCCAGATTCATTGCGGGAACAGAAGGCATCCGAATTCATACATCTTAAGCAAGGAACCATGACAGTGGCCGAATACTAGAGCAAGTTCACACAACTCGCTCAGTTTGCAACATACGTCATCCCCACTGCAACTCGAAAAGCAAGAAAATTTGAAACAGGATTGGATGCTGGAATTAAAGACAGGCTTGAAGTCTTGAAATTGCCAACCTATGCAGAAGTGGTGGACCGGGTGTACATAGTAGAAAAGGAAATTAAAGCCTCACATTCCGAAGAACCAAGCTTCAAGAAGCGATTCTGGGAAAGGGATAACAGAAACTCGATGTTGCACCTCATAAAAAGGTGAGCATGGGCACAACCAGCTCAGGCCACCAAGGTCTGACCAACCCCCCAGGTGGCACTATTCCAACTTGCCCCACTTGTGGGAGGGCTCATTGGGGACAATGCCATCGGGACACGGGAGCATGTTTTAGATGCGGACAGTTTGGCCACTTGCTAAGGGATTGTCCAAAGATGGTTAACCCTACAGCCAACCCCTCTGGCCCAGTCAGGAGAACTGCGGGACCGGGAGGAGAAAAGAAGGATCAAAATCGCCAAGGTCAGGCTTTCGCTTGGTATCTGGAAAACCAAAAGTTACCAAAAATGTTGTGTTAGGTACACTTTCTGTCTGTGGTCTTTTAGCTCATGTCCTTATTGACTCTGGGTCAACTCATTCTTTTGTTGCACCACACTTTGCTGCCAAGTTGACATCAACACCCGAATCATTAGGATATACATTATCCGTGTCTTTTCCTTCTGGTAAGTCTGCCTGTAGTTCTGATGTGTACAAATCCTGTGCTATATTCCTAAAAGGCAAAACCTTATATGTAGACTTGATTCCCCTCCACATTGGAAACTTTGATGTAATCTTAGGTATGGATTGGCTGGCTGCCAACCACGCCTCTATCGATTATAAAGCCAAAAAGGTCTTCCTTAAGCTACCAAACCAAACTGAACTTGTCTTTGATGGGACTGAAGTTTCTAACCCTTCCTGTTTTATATCCTCCATGGCGGCCTAACGACTTCTAAGAAAGGGTTGTGGTAGTTATATTTGTTATGTGATTGATACACAAAAAGAGGCCCCCACCGTTAATGCAATTCCTGTAGTTCAAGAATTCCCGGATGTCTTTCTTGAAGATCTACCCGGTATTCCAGTTGATCGGGAGATCGAATTCACCATTAAAACCCAACCTGGCACGCAGCCTATATCAAAAGCTCCTTACCGCATGTCGATGACAGAATTGAAAAAGCTGAAAACTCAACTCCAGGAACTCTTGGACAAAGGTTTCATTCGGCCTAGTACCTCACCTTGGGGAGCTCCAGTATTGTTCGTAAAGAAAAAGGATGGCACGATGAGATTATGCATTGATTACCGGGAGCTGAAAAAGGTTACCATCAAGAATCGATATCCTCTGTCGCGAATCGATGACTTGTTCGATCAACTTCAAGGCGCACAAGTATTTTCCAAAATTGACTTACGTTCTGGCTACCATCAACTAAAAGTTAAAACGGAAAGCATTGAAAAGACTGCCTTCAGAACCCGTTACGGGCACTACGAATTTCTCGTCATGCCTTTTGGCGTCACAAATGCCCCAGCAGCCTTCATGGACCTCATGAACAGAGTGTTCAAACCCTATCTTGATGAGTTCGTCATCGTCTTCATTGAAGACATCCTCATATACTCCAAGTCACCAGAGGCCCATGAGCAGCACTTGCGAATGGTTCTACAAACACTACGTGATCATAAACTTTATGCCAAGTTGAAGAAATGTGAATTCTGGATCGCTAGTGTACACTTTCTCGGTCACGTCATTACTAAAAATGGCATCTCGGTTGACCCCCAAAAAGTTGCAGCAATCGTGGACTAGTTGCGACCTACTAATGTGTCAGAAATTTGAAATTTCTTGGGTCTAGCCGGCTATTATCAACGCTTCGTGCAACATTTCTCAAAAATAGCATCGCCCTTGACCCAGCTAACTCAAAAGAACACACCCTTTGAATGGACTGATAAACAGGAGCATTGCTTTCAAGAATTAAAAGGTCGACTTGTGTCAGCCCCTATACTAGTACTCCCTACCGGAGTAGATGGGTTCGTAATCTATAGTGATGCCTCATGCAATGGATTAGGTTGCGTTCTCATGCAAGATGGAAAAGTCATTGCTTATGCGTCACGACAATTAAAGACTCACGAGAGGAACTACCCGACTCACGATTTGGAATTGTCTGTGGTGATCTTTGCTCTCAAAATCTGGCGTCATTATCTCTACGGTACAACCTGCGAGATTTATACTGACCACAAGAGTCTAAAATATCTATTCACACAGAAAGAACTGAATATGAGGCAACGACGGTGGTTGGAATTTATGAAAGACTACGATATAGAGATTCATCACCATCCGAGAAAAGCTAACGTGGTGGCAGACGCACTGAGCCGAAAGACGACGAGAAGTTTGGCATGTACTCTCATTTTTTGCAAGATCAATGGGTTGCTCGCTAATGTAACCGTGGAGCCTACATTGTTTGGAGAAATTAAAGCACACCAATGGGAAGATAAACTCTTGAAGAAAAGGTACGAGGAACAAGGAAACAAGCCTGATCCTGAATTCATTATAAACAATGGGATACTGAAATTTCAGAATCGAATTTGTATACCCAACATCCCAGAACTCAAGAAGAAGATACTGGAGGAAGCTCATAGCTTGAGATTTGCAGTCCACCCTGGCAACACAAAGATGTATCATGATCTGAAGAAACACTACTGGTGGACCGGAATGAAAAGAGATATAGCAAGCCATGTTTCCAAATGTCTGCATTGTCAGCGTGTTAAAGCAGAATATCAGAGACCTGCAGGGCTGTTGCAACCACTCCCTATTCCTGAATGGAAATGGGAACACATTACTATAGACTTCGTGGTTGGGCTACCACAGTCTTTTTCAAAGAATGATGCAATATGGGTTATAGTAGACCGATTCACAAAGTCAGCACATTTTCTACCAATCAAAATCATGTACCCTCTGAATAAGTTTGCCACTTTATATATCAAGGAGATTATTCGGTTACATGGTATCCCAGTATCGATCATGTCTGACCGAGACCCTCGTTTCGTGTCTCACTTCTGGAATAAATTGTAAGAAGGTTTGGGAACTACACTGAAGTTTAGCACGGCCTATCATCCACAAACTGATGGGCAATCCGAAAGAACAATCCAGACATTGGAAGACATGTTATGTGTATGCGTATTGGACCTCAAAGATAACTGGGATGAGCACCTACCTTTTATGGAATTCGCCTATAACAACAGCTATCAGGCAAGCATTGGAATGGCGCCGTACGAAGCTCGGTATGGAAGGAGATGTCGATCACCTCTATGCTGGACGGAGGTCGGGGACAGGAAATTGTTAGGCCCCGAAATCGTACAAGTCACTAGTGAGAAAATCCAACTCATCCAACAGCGGATTCGCACTGCTCAGAGCCGCCAGAAAAGTTATGCAGATACTCGGAGACGAGACTTGGAATTTCAAGTAGGAGATCATGTGTTTCTGAAAATCTCACCAACAAGAGGAGTAATCCGATTCGGACAGCGTGGAAAGCTAAACCCACGTTACATCGGGCCATTTGAGATATTGGAAAGAATTGGTCCTGTAGCCTATCGCCTTGCATTACCTCCTGAGCTATCTAATATCCACAACGTGTTTCAGCTTTCAATGCTCTGACGGTATCTCCGAGATCCAGAACATATCATCGACTATGAGAACTTGAAAGTTCGAGAAGATCTCTCTTACAAAGAATAACCAGTGCAGATTCTCGATCGTCGTAATCAAGTTCTCCGAAACAAGACCATACCACTAATAAAGGTCTTATGGCGAAATCATCACATCGAAGAAGCTACGTGGGAAACAGAAAGTCAAATGCGAGCCAAATACCCACACCTCTTTGAAAGTTAAGGTATGTCAAGTTTGGGGACAAACTTCTAATTAGAAGGGGAGAAATGTGACACCCCGAACGTTTAATTAAGTATCACATAAATATTTAGAATTATATATATAATTATGATTGCTTGTGATGATAGGGTATTAAATAAATAAATATATAAATCTAATTTGGCATTAGGTTATCAAATATAGGATTAATTAGAAATTATTTGGGGGGCAAATTAACATATTTATGGAATTATAATACTAGTTGGGTCAAACTAAAGATAGTAAATAAATAATAATATTGCTAACAAGAATAATAATAATAAGCTGTAAAGTAAAATAAAATAATTAATTTTATAATGATAAAGAAAAAAAATATAAGATGTAATTTAATTTAAATTAGGAACATTGAAAAAGCTTAACATCAAAACAAATGAATAAATGAATAAAAAGAAAAGAAAATGAAAATTTGTTGGCCCAACAAATGCTTGTGAATTTCGGCCCAAAAGAAAAAGAAAGAAAAAGGGCCCAAGTATAAGATTTAATCTTATCCTGGAAAGATTCAAATCTTATATGGAATCCACAATTAAAAGCTCAATCACCTAGCATCATTATGACCTCGAGAAAGAGAGGGGTACGTGGCTTTCCATCATGGCTTGGTTAACAGCATAAAAAGGGGCAAAGGTGTTGCGAATTAAGGGAGGAAACACGAAAGAACAAAAGAAAGAGGGGAAACGAGAGAGAGAGGTACGTAAGTGAGCGTAAGGAATCTATAGTAGGGAAGTTCTGATAGTAAAGTAAGACTAAGGGTTATAATTAAGGTGAGTTATATTATACATTGCTTTACCATTATATGTTTTACGAATGTTTTGAGTTACCATAGCTTATTTTATACAAGTTATCTTTATTAAGTTATATAAATAAAAGTTATGTTCATAAATATTTCAGTTATGTAGGTTACTTTCTAAACTCTATTTACTTAAAAGGAAACCCATGGATATGTTTGTTTAAATTTTAGTATATATTTAACTATAACCTTATAAACAATTATGTTTTGTAAGTATCACCACGGGAGTCCCACGCCTTGGGGGACTTAAATAACCATTGGCCTCTGTTTGACCACCTTATGGTCCTCTGTTTGTCATGGATCCATTGACCTCTGTTCTGACTGTCACTTCTGTGACCTCTGTTCTATTCTGTTTTATATCGTGGTTATGATTATTTATTTACATGATTTTCTGTATTCTGCCACTTTAAATAAATTGTCATTTTAAATTAAAATATGCAAATATTTTAGCCTAACTAATTATCCATGGTTGTTTTACACTCTTGGCATAATATTTCTCACTCTGCTGTGTGCTTATAGCTGTTACCCTTTCAGGTGACGAGATGCAAGGGAAACCCATAACCCTACAAAATGGAACCTGCACATGGACTGATGTTGAATCACTATTTTATCTTTCTTTTTTTTATATTTTTGCTTCCTTTTGTTTCTATTCGGGGCTGGTCACTGAATAATAAAATAATGAAATCCCTAGAAATGTATTTCCTCTTTCTTAAATAGTAAAATTTCTGTTTACTTTATTTTCGCTAGCGCAGCTTAATTTGCTTCGAATAAGAATAAGTGAGTAAGTTGTAATTCCAACCCTAAGCCCCTAGGGTTGGGTCGTGACACTATCTCAATTATCTGAATTGTTCTTTTAGACCATAACGTATAGATTATTCATAAAAATAAAATAAAAAATAGATCGATTCAATAATCATAACCACATTATTTATTTCATTTGTCTCTTTAAAAAAAAAAAAATTGTCTAGTTTTTAAATAATATTTTTTTTAAAATAAATGTCATAAACAAACATCTTTACGATTGTCAAATCAATTGAATTTTTTATATGAATAATCTATATATTGTGATATAAAAAATAAATGATTTAAATTATTGAGGTGGGATCTATCCATGGGCTCAATCAGCATGATACAATGCTCAAAGTGGACAAGAGAAAATCTGAATCATAAAAAAAAAAATAAAGAAATTTGAACCATAAGTGGAATTTTTTTTTTTTTTTAAACAACCCAAAATTGTATAGAAGCCATCAAGGCCAAGAGGAAGTTACATCATCTCTAAGAATAGCAGTAAGAGCTCCAAGTGGATTGGCAAACCAATTCAGAGCCAAGCTATTATAAGCATGAGCTTTTGCCAACCAGTTGGCTGCCCGATTGTTTACTCTAGAAGTCCATCACAATTGTAGATTTCCTCGGGTTCAAAGCTGACAAATATCGAGCATAAGGCAAGAATCTCCCAAAATGGAATCTTCTCTTAAACCCCCAGTTTAATGACTTCTTGATTTCAATAATGGCTGAGGTGAGGTTGCGGGCTTGCGCCAAAAGGGCTTCCATGCGCACTGCTTGGGCTTCAACAGTAAAGGCATAGAAGGAACTAAAGGAGGAGACTAGGCCATCTACAATTCGGCCGTCAGAGTCACGGAGAATAGCAGCAACTGGGGCTTTGTCTCGATCATTGCTGAAGCTTGCGTCACAGTTGATTTTGAACTCTCCAGCTGGAGGTGGATGCCACCCCTATTCCCCAAGAAGAGTTGGGGTGAGACTCTCGGCATTAGGGGAAATATCTCCAGAATGCTAGTGTTGGTCCTCCATCCATGCCTGAGCTATTCTGGTTGCAATAACTGGTGGACTGATTAGGAGATGATTGAATATGAACTCGTTCCGTGGCTTCCAGATATATCACCCTATGAAGAAAATTCTGCTCAAAAGATTACTACCTTTCCCAGCCCTTCTATTTGCTTCCAACCATTGAGCCATCCACTACACTATATTGAGCACAGTCCCTTTCTCCATGCGAAGATTAAGCATGCTGCGAAACCACATTGCTTTAGTCCATGGGCAATCAAAAAGCATATGTTCCACTGATTCATCATCCTTCAAACAAATGGGCCAAATCTGAGATTGGGAGCAGTGGCGTTTGTAGAGATTGACTTTTGTAGCCACGAGATTCTTACACGCTTGCCACCAAAAGTGTTTGATTTTTGGGGGAGCTGCCACTTTTCAAATTGACTTCCAAAAACCGTCAGGGACTTGGAAAGAGCTGGATGGTTGATTCTGAAACCCTTCCTACCTAAAGGACTTAGCAACCCAATAACTAGACTTAACATAATACACCCCTAATCTAGTTAGTTGCCAAACCAGCGTATCCTCTCTATCCTCCAAAAAGATAGGAATAGATTAGATTGCTTGGCATTCCTCATTTGAAAGAAATTGGAGTAGATGCCCAATTCGTCACTGTTTATAAACTAGATCAATGGCATCCGCAACGCGCAACACATTGCAATTTGGAGGTTGTAGAGAAGAGAGTTGAAAATTGCTTGCAGCTGGGATCCATTTGTCCTCCCAGAAGCGAATGGATTTCCCATTTTGCACTTGCTATCGAGTCCCCTTGTGGAGGAGGTCCCTCCCATTTAGCAAGCAATGCCAAGCCCAAGAACCTCTTGCTTCTTGAGAAACTGTTAGAAAGGTAGAATGAGAAAAGTACAGGCCCTTATACAGACGGGCCCAATAGGATTGAGGATTAGAAAGCAGTCTCCAACCTTGTTTCGTAAGCATAACTTGATTTAAAGCCGAAAAATCTCTGAAACCCATGCCCCCATGAAACTTTAAGGAACACATAGACTTCCAATTAGCCCACGGAATTCCTTTGTTCACAAGGTTGCTTTTCTACCAAAAGTTTTGAATTACCATATTAAGTTTCTTACAAAAAGATTTCGGGAACGTGAAGCAAGCCATAGCATAGGCTGGGATTGCTTGAGCCACTGCCTTGATTAAAAATTCTCTTCCGGCATGGGAGAGGAGCTTATTTTTCCATCCTTGCAGCTTTGAAGACACTATGTCCACCAAAAAACCATAGGCTTCGGACTTGGATCTACCCCACCATGTTGGAAGCCCAGATATTTCACATTTTGTCTAGCCATAGGAATACCTAACTCTTTACAGAGCCTGTCTTTTAACTCAGCAAGAGCATTGGCCCAGAAGAATGCCTCTGATTTTTCTAGGTTTATGATTTGGCTTGAAACTTCGTTGTAGAGTCGCAGAAAATGCATCATGTTGGAGCATTCTGAGCTGCTGGCAGTGAGGAACAGAAAAACATCATCCGCGAAAAAAATATGGGACAAAATAGGGTAAGTCCTCTCCATCTGCAGGCCTGATATAACATTGTTCTTAATACCTCCTGTGATTAATTTAGAAAGGATTTCAGCTACAAGAATGAAAAGGTAGGGAGATAAGGGGTCACCTTATCGAAGTCCACATGAAGGAGTGAAGGAAGCTCTATTCTTACCATTCGCAAAAATTGAGAGTTGAACCGTAGTTACACAGTCCATCACCCACTAAGCCCAAGTATCATGGAAGCCCAATCTTTCAAGCACTGCCTTTAGGAAGTCCCATTGAATGCGATCATAGGCCTTATTAAAATCTAATTTCAAAGCCAGATGAGTATGCCTACCACCTTTTTTTACTTCAAGAAATGAAAACCCTCATGTGCCACCGAGATACTATCTTGAATGAGCCTACCGGGGAATAAAAGCTGTCTGTTGTGGTAAAATAAGCTTGGGGAGAGAACCCTTGAGCCTATTAGCTAAGATTTTTGTAATAATCTTTATTTTGAAATTACAGAGGCTGATAGGTCTAAACTGTATGAGCTTCTCTGGTGTAGCTATCTTTGGGATCAACACCAAGTTAGTATGGTTCCACTATCGAGGTACATGTCCCCCAAGGAAAAAGATTTTGATTGCCAAACACACTTCTGGGCCTACAATCTCCCAATATTTTTGGTAAAAGATGCCTTAAAACCCATTTGGTACAGGGGCCTTCAACGGGCCAAGTTGAAAGGCGGCTGCTTTAATCTCCGCATCAGTGATCGGTTTAGTGAGATTCACATTCATTTCATCAGAGACCTCCATTGTGACCGAGGACAAAACTTCAGTGAAGTCCCGTTCAGCAGCTGCTTAGAAGAGAGTTTAAAAGTGCGTTACTAGATGCTCATTAATCTCTTCCTCCACTTCCAATACTATCCTCGCCTCCGTCTTGAGTTTGGTTAACTGGTTCCTTTGTCGTCATTGAATCACTGTCGCATGGAAAAATGAAGAGTTCTTATCTCCATATTTAAGCCAATTTACCCTGGAACGCTGGTGTTGGTACATATATTCTCTATCTCAAGCAACTTCAAGATCCTGCTACAACTCTCGAGTTTTTGTTAGTATGTTATCTGAATATGGGCATGCTTGGATAGCCTGAATTTCTGCCTTCGGATTCTTAATCTTAACCCGATTATCCCCGAACCTAGACTTGCCCCAAAAGGAGAGTGCGTGGCTACATCTATTAAGTTTCTGAGACAGGCTCACCATAAGCGGTCCTGAGAAACCCTCAACCCAAGATGAGTTTATGATCTTGGCACACTCACCGTAAGTCATCCACATTGATTCAAACTTGAAGATACACAGAATTTTTTGAGGAGGAATATTACAGTGTAATAACAAAGGGTAGTGGTCAGAGCCTATGAGGGCTTTATGGAACACCTGAGCGAAAGGAAACAATTGGCGTCATTCCACTATGGCCATTACTTTATCTAGTCGCTCCCTGATGTTGGCGTCCCCTCCTTGGTTGTTGGTCCATGTATAAGAAGCTCCTTTGAATTTAAGGTCCATTAGTTCACAACTTGCCACAAAATTTTGAAAAAATTGCGTCCAGGCTCTATTACCTCCCCTCGAGCCTTGCTTTTTCCATGACCAGCTGATTTCGTTGAAGTCCCCCAAACTAAGCCAGGGATATCCATTTGTCTTAGCCAAATTCTGAAGTGCGTTCTAGAAAATTTTCCTGTCATTCCAGTGGGAAAGGGCATACACAAATGTCACCAGCCAAGAAGTAGCAACTCTCGTTGTCATGAGGACACATCTAAACATATTCTGAGATTTTGCACGAACTTGAAGGTCGACTTCGTCGTTCCACCGTAGCGCTAGTGCTCCCGAGATACCCGTAGAATCCACATAGCAGGAATAAGAGAAGTGGAGAAATCTCCTAATCTTTTCAAGCAAGGATTACTTATTCTTGGTTTTCATAAGAAACATTATTGCAGGGCGATGGGTTTGACATAACCCTCGAAGGATCTAGACAGTCAGAGGTCACACAAGCCCCTGACAGTTCGAGTTGATGATCAACATTGGTCATGTGGCGATTTAGGGCTCGCCACCATAGCCCATTCAAAGAATTCAGATTGAATTTCAGGGAAAGTGCTACCAACTTGGGAGAGACAATCCTCCTCAACATCATTAAAGGGAGAATGTGGAAAGAAGTAATTCTTACTTACTACTTCTTGGATGGTCACCTCTACCAGAGCTGAGCCCTTTGAGTTATCCACCCGCCGATCTCTGGGTCGACCCCTCTTTACCCTCTTTTTAATCACACCAGCTAGGGGAGTGTATGTGGAACTGATTTTTAGTTGGAGTTGGGTCTAAACCAAAGCATCCAGTAGAAGTAACAAAGTACCTACCTTCTGGATTTTGCTACGAAACAGTGCTTGGTCTTCATCTCCAGATCCCTTCTTTTTGAGTGACAAGTGTTGGAGTGCCTCTGTTAAACCCCCCTCTGGGACTTGAGTAATGCACAAAAGAGGTGTCTCAACAGATGGATCATTTGGTAACAAGGTTTGAGGAATTAGGCTATTCTAAATAATGGGTGGAGGCCCACTGCTAAGGCCCAATTCCAAAGCTTGAGAGGGCCCTAAGTACTGTGGGCTGTCAGGTGGTTCTGGAACAAAATAGTTGAAGACCTTAACTGGGCCCACAACCATATTAGTAGTTGCACCAAGGTTTGATGGAAGGCCTATTCCAAGATTTGGCCCACAACCCTTGTGAAGGTACACAAGACATAAAGGCCTTTCCTGGCCTGTTGGCTCTAGAGGGGGGGGGCCGTGAGGCTAATGAAAGTGTTGGTAGGAGCATGCGTCTGTCGAGTTTGGATCCCCTCCTTGAGAAGCCTCCTCCACATCCTACTTGCAACGGCTGAGATCAGCCGTTGCACATCCAACGGCTGAGATAAAAAATAAATAAATAAATAAAAATAAATAAATAAATAAATAAACAAATAAAATAATAATAATAATTTGAAATTTTGGTCAATTCCTGCCTAAACAAAACACAGCTCTGTGAGGCTATACATTCACTTTCACTCTTACTTTCACTCAGCCGCTCGTCCACCGAACCCACTCTCACTGGCGAACCGGCAACCAGTCCCGACGGTGACCCAGAGGGCGAACCCACTCATAACCCCGCGACGACCATAGCTCCACCACTCCAGCCCTAATATGCTACGCTTCGTGAACCATAGCTCCACCGCGACGACCACCATCGGTTGAGCAAAGAAATTCTTGACGAACCAGGTTGGTCTTCGAACGTCTGAAATTATTTTGTCAAGAATTGTGTGATTGAGGTTTGGAATTGAGATTGAGAAGTTAGGGTTCTGTGAATGTTTGAAAAAATTTAGGGCTTTTAGATTTGGAATTTCAAAATTAGGACTTTGATTTGGGATTCCAACCACTAGAAATTTAGGGCTTTGAAACGTTTGAAAAAATTTAGGGCTTATAGATTTGGAATTTCAAAATTAGGGCTTCCAGAGACAAGTAATTCATGGAAATATGATATGAAATCTGAACAATCTGAATACCAATTCTTTAAATCAGTAGGCAATTTTTGATAAATCAGTAGCCAATTCATGAAATATACTCCCTGTTTTTGATGAAGCAGTAGCCATTTTTTGATAAATCAGTAGCCAATGAATGAGATATGCTCCCTATTTTTGAGGAATCAGTAGCCAATTTTTGATAAATCAGTAGCCAATTCATGAAATATGCTCCCTGTTTTGGATGAATCAGTAACCAAATTTTTTATTTTATTTTATTTTTTAGCTCATTACTTAATTGCCTCAAATTTGAACAATCTGAATAGCACTTGAACAGTGTTGATGTTTACTACTCAAGTGACAATGTGGACCAATGGACTTGAGGTTGGATCATCACATCATCAAAAAAAAATTAATAACCAACATTGTTTTATGAGTAGTGCTATACAATTGAGGTTGTCAAAAAAATATTTTTGTTGGTTGACTTGCTCCTATACAATGGTAATCACTTGTTCATATGGGATGGAGCACTGATATCATATGAATGCATAATAGCTTGTTCATATCATATGAATGATCATATACAAACTGTGTTAGCATTGGTCATGGAAATATGGTTAGACATCTTCCTTAAGGCACATATGGGTGATAATCTGAAACTAGTTTGGACTTGGAAATGGGAACCATTTTGACTTAAGTTTAAGCAAGTTTAAGAAAGTTTAAGCAAGTTTAAGCCAAGTAGTAGAAATCAACTAGTTGCAGAAATGGTAACACTCATCTCAATCTCAAACTAGTTGTACAAATCAACTTTTTTACGCAAGTTTAAGCCACATGTTGACTTTGTTCCTTATGAACAATTACACTTCACTGCTGAAATAAAGTATAGAACAACTTCCATTAGCACCAAGTTAACCACACTTCACTGCTGAACTGCATTGTTAACCACAGTGTTGTTGATTCTGTTTTCAAGCTGAACTACACTTCAATACTGAACTACATTCTGTTTTGAAGCTGAAATTCAATTGTTGCACACACAGTGTTGCTGATTCTATACTTATCCTGAAATCCTTAACTACTCTTAATAGAGCTAAACATAATTTACACTAGTTGTTCCACATTGTTCCTGTCATGTCCCAAACTCGCCCCTAAAAGTTCGGGCATGACCTAAGCAGAAACGGACACTTAACTTGATATACATAACATATGGGGCTTGAACAAAAGCATTTAACAATAATTAACATAAATAAAAGAACTATATCCATTGAGCGACCACTATCATGCCAGGATCACAAACAGAACATAAGGCAAACAAACATACAGTGGCATGCATTTGAGAATTTAGCTATGGACATATACATATACAGACCCAGCCCTTATAATTGGGCGTAACAAAAACAATAAGAAGTAAAAGGATTATATACACTACAACCTTAGACAAACAATGAGGGTACAAAACCAAAAGCTTAGCAAAACTCCCTAAAATGATTGCCTTCACTTAAGTGCCTGGACACTCCGGGGTTGACAAAAGAGGAACGGATGCCACGGGTTTTGACTGACCTCCAGATGGAGTGCCTACAGAATAAACATAACACAGGGTGAGTCAAACTCAGTGAATAGTGGTACGTAAACAATTTAATGATTAACTTGAATTATAATGTACAAACATAAATGCAGAGAACACGTAGTTAACTTGATCTTGTAATTATTT